ACCACCTCATAATAAATATTAGGTAAGTATAGGAAGTATTATTTGGATATAGATTTTTTGTATTTTTCTTCGTATATCATGTATTTTTATCCTGTATTTTTATATGTATTATTATCACATATCAATACTTTATTAATAAAGATTTTTGATTAGAGGAACGTACAACGTATCATGTGTTATTTTTGTGTAATGTAACTAATAAATTTTCGGAATAATTTTATTGGCAAAAAGTGATCAGCGTTACAATTTGTAACGCACACGTGAGTTTTTGTTTTTCCGATGCACCAACTCAAATCTTATAAACATCTGATTATAAAAAATATATACTAAATAAAATAATTTTTTGATAAGTTCACCTATTAATTCTTTTTATTTTTCTTGGGCGAGATTTTCACTTCGTCAATCTTAGAATCCTCTTCACTCGATTCGGAAGTAGAATTATCGATATAGATCAGTATACTTTCAGCACTCGAAATAATCATATCCTAATTTCAAGAACATCAGTATTATCATAAGTGTACGCCAACATTTTCGTGTAAATACTTACCCGCATTATCCACAAGTTCGAAGCAAACCTTGGTAACTTCATGGATATCAAATGTGTAATTGTTGGATAAGAGAACTTTTTTTCCAGTTTAAAGTAATATACACCAGCAAAGGGCATACACATGCTATAAACGTAAAAATTATGATCTATATGGATTTATGATAGGAGGGCATTAGTATATATTTATAATAAAAGCATTTATCCGGTTTATAGAACTTACCGTATATTTGAATACCATAAACTTTTATTCTTCTAAATATTTCAAAATCACCTGGGTATTTGATTTTAATGTAGTTCAGGATAATCTTGAGCATCTTTGCGGTCTTATTCCTATCCCCAACATAGTGAGTATGATCAAGGCTTGATGGAGGCCCTGAAACTTCTAAAGTCGAGAATTCCAAAAAATCCATGTCCACCATTGAAACAATCGCATCAATTTTATTTCCCGAGCATCGTCGATCATCATCTCTTAATGATCGTTTAAGTAGAAAAGCGGAACATCGTAAGGTCGATTCACCCCTATTAAATGAAAAATCAGTAACGATAACTAACAGGGATAACAAGCATTACTTAACACACTTCAACTTACCAACTACATTCCAAAAACGATTTATCTTCGAACAGAATGGTAAAAATGTGTGAAATAAACTTGGTTATGTAATTGCCTTCAGTCTGATTTTCTTTTAAACGGTTTCTGCCATTTAGAAATTGTTTTCGACTATAATAAAGTGGTAGATTCAATGTTAGTGCAAAATCAGATTACAACATAGGAGGTACACAGAATATTTACAATATTTTCATCAATTGCAAAACTTGTTTTTTCCATCGTATATTGCCATTTGCCCGTAATTTTTCACGCTCTGTCTTGATTGTATTGCACAATTTATTCATGGTGTTCTGAAATAAATGTAAATATAAGGAATTGCCAACAAATCAAAATTTAAATTTAATCGTAAATGAAATATACTTACTACATTTTTCGTTATATTTTTTAGATATCGTTTAACACCTTCTGCCTGTCCATCTTGCTCTGTGTCTTGAGATGAAGTGAAAGCGGAATTCGGAATATAGGGTCTAAACGATAAAAAATCTTCTATTGTTTTAATGATATTATTCCAATGTTCTTTGAAGAGCTTTCGTGCTTCCGTCGCAGATGAATTTGTTGTGTCTAGAATATTATAACGCATTAAGCTGTAAGGTAAAGTTATCAGTAAAAAATAGTATCTAAAGTGTATAGTTATATAAGCAAGGATGATAAAAATAAATGTAAATACTCTTGCTTGTGTAATTCTTCAATATATTTTGACTTTTTTCGCCATTGTTCTATTTTTGATCGGATACATATATTGCTGACAGTCAGTTTGCAATCAACAGTAGTATCATGAGGGGATTTTGTAAGAAGATCATCTTCATCCTCGGAAGTAATTATATCATCTTCACCCTCGGAAATAATTATATCATCTTCCTCTTCGTCATCATCATTAAAGACCTAAATGATAAAAAGGAAAAATGAATTTACTACGCACGGTGAGATGAAAACATAATGGAAAAATACCGCTACCACATTTTGTGAAGTTGGTAGTAGTTCATTAATGTCTTGACGGATTTTTTTGGAAGTGTTTTTATCCTAAAAGCATTGAAATGAAAATAATTAGTTTTGTCAATTTCCGGCCTATAGCTAAAGAATATATATTTACTCACATATTTTAAATCATTTTCACTCAAAGCATCTACTTCCAGAAATCTCTTCCGTGTTCTTTCGTTTCGAATTGCTGTCCACTCAACCTATTTAAAAGTTGTTCTGTTTTAAGTGAATTCATTTCAATACCTTCGCAACACGTCACATTTCAACTAACCTGAGACATAGAGTCCTTAAACATAACCAACTTTTCACGTTCTTTGGAGTTCTTAAGTTCCATTTGTGCAGTAACATGTTCCCACCATTCGGAAACGTTACTCGGAATTTTAGTCTCAAAATAAAAAATAGGAAAGGAATAAATTTAGTTTAACATTATATATCAATTTAGCTTCTGATGTCACTATAGCTTTACAGAATGGTTGTAGAGTGGTTGTATGCTCAGGACGGCTAACCATACGGACTGAGCCATGTCTCTGTAACGGTATGGTTACAGGAGATGTCCTGAACCCGAGCTTCCTATACCGGCCTGTTCGGTTACAACATACTACATGCCCAAGACGGCTAACCATACGGACTGAGCCATGTCTCTGTAACGGTATGGCTACAGAGATGTCTTGCGCCTGAACTTCCTATACCGGCCTGTTCAGTTGCAGTATTCATTCCTCATTCTCATAGAATCGACTTACCAAATTTTCATGGAGATTAGTCGACGACCTTAATGCAGTTGTAGCAAAAGATTTCAAGTGGTCGCGGTCATTGGTTGTCGCCTGTTCCAGATAACTTTTACACCGAGATCTAACATTCTCCAATGCTTTCTTAAGCCGACCATGCCATCTTGTTTTTCGGTCTTTAAGTGGTATATTTGTGCAAAACAGCTTATCGTCCCTCTCATTCAGCCAATTAAGGAAGTCAAGCTCGTTCCATTCGTTTGGCGTCCTTTCAATAAAGTACTCGGAAAAATCTGTAAATGTGGATGTGAGCACAATAAGAATAACTGCAAAAGGTGTATGAATGATAAAGCTTTAAGACATACCGAAAGCTTCTTTTGAGAATAACTCTTCTGCAGAGTTCGTCATTTTATTTTTGTTTAGTAGAGTTTTAACCGCGACTGATTATTTATTAATGAAGCCACATGATTTATAGAATATGAATACCACATGACCATCGTAAAAATAACATAACCGTAGGTATAACTATTAGTGTATCAAAAACGATACTTTTGCATATTTGGGGTTTGCAGTTCTGGCTACAATTCAGCTTACTAAGGTTGTTAATTTATTTGACAGCTATTTTTTCAAGAATATCGTATAATGGAGTTAATGTTTTGATATTAATTTAGATTAACGGAAAACTTATAATGTAGAACAATAGATAGATTTATCCTTTTCGATTTTTATTACAATTAATAAAGGAAAGGCGCGTTAAATGCGATTTTTAAAAATTTTTTATGTGATTAACCTTTTAAATATATCCACATTTTGTAATAAAACAATGTCGAACGATCAATTAACAATCAATACATTGAGAGAATTAAACTCTAGGCTTGCATCCGAGATTACTGAACTTAGAAAGGAGAATGCTGAAATTCCTGAACTTAG